AATCACATGTTTCACAACATAAAAAAGATCAACAATCGATTTTGTCACAAAGTGATAAAACGAGTGTCCATTATGCTTATATACATGTAAACAATTCCTTAAATATGTTTATGTCATACCATATTAATATAAACAAATCTATTGTGTAGGTGGCTCCTCTTAAATAATTTACATATGTATTATGTTTATATTTCCCATACCCTCCACCCACCCATTAAAAGGAATAGGGCAGGTCTAATGTGTAAATTAAAATATTACATAATTGTTTGTTTTTCAAATTAGGAATTTTATAAATATAAATGCCAAAAATAACTTGTGAAAAATGGAGGGAGGAAATCATACCAATTGATATAACATTTAGAACAAGCCAAAAAATCTTCCATTCCTAGATATCAAGCCATTGATACTTTTGGTATAACAAGCCATTGTAATTCAAAATAAGCCATTGATGTTTTTGGCATATATTTTCAATGAAGAAAAAATGGATTTATTAAATTATCATCCAATTGTGTTTCAGACATATGACCTACTCTTGTTTTATTTATATTTATTTGAAGTGAAAAAGGAATGCCATTTTTGAATAGTCTTAGATTTATATAGAGAAGACCTTCAATATGAAAAAGTATTCTTTAATGGAGTATTTTCATTTTACTCTAACAACGAAGTTTGAGTTTATTATAAAAATAACAAAAAAACTTCATGTGACACAAATTAGAAATTTTTTATAGAAAATAATTTGAAAGGACATGTCACACAACTATTATAAAAATTTATTAAACAAAGGAATTTAAAGATTTAAATAAAAAGATTAATTTGTTGGGAATGAATCAAATCTACATATAATAAATTCAGCTTGACCAGGGTGGTGGTAACTAAATACCCAGGACTAGTTATAGAGATTAGTTTATATATAAAGATTAATTTGTTGAGGTTTAACATAAACATACTAATACTTAGGAACAACAATTTTTTAATTTTATTAATAAATGTATGTATGTATGTTTGAGTAACAAGCAAAATAATAATAATTAATTGAATCTTCTCTCTTTTTCATTATAATAAAAAAAATATTGAAATAAATAATTTCTATAATAAATAAAAATATTTATTACTATATTACATTTCAAATGTCATCCCACTCTTCCTCAACATTATTCTCTTTATCAATGGATATAATACTTGGATCCCAATTTAAACAATCCTATGCAGTGATCAATTAAACACACATCAATAAATTCATAAGTTGTTGAATTTGGTAAAATACGTGATTTCAAGATTTGTATCTTCAATCAATCTTGAAGTTAATTGAATAAATGCTAAAAATTTGATTTTGTTTTGGTGCTGATGTGTGAAAAAATATCCAACTTTTCCATAAGCTTTGGTCAACATCAGTTCCGAGTTAAACATTCCACACAATTTTTCCATCAGAAATTGCCAATAAGACCAGCAAGGACCTAAATATTCAATACATCAAGCAAACATATAATAAATAGTGTAAACACATTCTACAATCAGACAATCTAGTTGGATCATTTCTATAATATTTTCTACAAAAAAAAATTATTTTAATTACTCTTAAAGAAGTAGGCTATGAAGTGAAAGATTTGCTAAAATGAATTTAAAAAAAATCTGATGCTGAGAATTAAATTGATACTCACTTTTCATAATATTTATAAAAATTCTTCAATGAAACTTTTAGATCTTCCAAATCATCCTTTGTGATTTCATATTTAGTGCAAATTTTCACAGATTTTACAAAGTTACTCCAACCTTTTATATGACTGTAATAAATACAACTTTAGTAAAATTTAATATTAAAGATAACAACAAAATAAATTTAATACCTACACATTATTAAATAAATCTTTTAATATTGGCAAAGAAAAAAAAAGAATCCAATTTCTCCACTCAACTGCTTTAAATCCAGCATTGTATTTATATATATCCCTTGGTGGTCTACCAATACTTGAAGGCATTTCCATTCTGGATAATTTTAGCTTTTTTCCAATTTCTACCCATTTTTCTTTTTCAATGACATAATCATCTACAATATTACAGTCTTTAAAAAATGTATTATTCCAATGGGAATACATTAAAGGTGCCATGTTTTCAAAAATAAGTGCATGATGTCAATTGGAAATGACCATGGGAAAATAATTGTTTTCAAATCAAAAATGATGCTGTAGTTTTTCATCCCTAAATAATATTTGATAAATTAATTTCATCCAAAATGGAAAAAATGATATTTAGAATATAATTTGTACAAATATTTCCAATTAAAGAACTGTTAATGACATGTGTTGTTTTACCAGGTTTGGTGGTTCATAATCAGAATCTAATTCTGACTTTGGATCCTCTTCAGAATCCGTAAAATCATATTCTGACTGCAATTAGGGATAGGCAAAATTGCATAATGCATAATGTGCATTATGTGCACTGAATTTTTTAAAATGTGCATAATGTCCCAATGAATAATGAACATATGCAATGTTACACAAATTATTTTTTTTTTTAAAATTTATTTTATGCCTCCACTTAGTAAAATTTGGTCTCATTTTATGAAGCTTGGCCATGAGGCCACTTATAAACAAGAAAGAGCTCAATGTAATTATTGTTCACATAAATTGCTTGCTGCTGCAAATCATTGTGAACAACACCTTAAGAAATGTACCAAAGTTTCATATCATGTACTTAATGAATATTTTCAACAAAATCAAAATATAATTATGCAATCATCACAATCTGAGAATTCTACTTCCTCTACTTCCTCTACTTCCTCCTCCTCTTCTTCTTTATCTCAAGCAACTCCTTTAGTTAACACTTCAATTATTAATTTTATTGATAGAATTTCTTCTGCGGAGCAACAAGAATTTGAAATTTTATTTGCAACTGCTATTTTTTCTTGTGGACTTCATTTTTCATTTTCTGATTTAATTATTTTATTTTAATAAAGTAATTTTTTATATTTGTTATATTTACAAAGAATAAAATTTATACTTTTAAATAAATCAGTTATAGAAAAGATCATCATGCGCATTATGCAAATTAATGTTCAAAAAGTTGCATAATGCCCATCTCTAGGCCATCACATTTATATGTTTCGAATTTAATGAAATTGACTATTGTTTTGACCTAAGTGATATGATTTTTTTACTCTTTATGATAAAGAAGGTGTAATCCAAATCAAACTTAACTTTAATAGATTTTGGTTCTTGTGTAGTGCAGCATGTACAATAATAATAATAAAAAAGAAAAAAGCTCCACATTGTGTTTTCAGTTGTAAACTTGTTAATTAAAAACATATTTAGTTAATAGTGATTTTTATCACATTAACTAAAACCAAATCTCTTTCTGTTCGCTTGGAAAAAAAGATTTTATTATTTTGCATGATAAATGGTAAAAAATGTTTATCACATGAAAATGGCATTCAAATTTCAATTTCAACATAGTAATAGATCATCAAGTGTATTGATATTGATTTCAGAAAAATAAAAAAAATATTTTTTGAAATTTACTACCCAACATAAACAAAAAATTCCTTCCCAAAAAATTAAGTTTGAAAAACAGTGATTTTTCACTAGCTGCTCATAGCACTCACTATCTTGCTGAGCTCTGCAGAGAGAAAGAAGAAACTGTTATTACCGTTAAAAAATGTGTTGAAAATTGTAGAACCTCAGATTTTGCAAAAAGAGGTTTTTTTTTTCTAAAAAAAGAATTCAAATCAGTGAATGATTATTGCTTCTAAAACTCTCTAAACAAAAAAGGATAACGAAGCATAGTACCAATGCTAACTAATTTCTTTCTTGTGCTAACTAATAAATATTATATCAATGAAAATCTTGTAATTATCCAGCAATGATCTGCTCCATGTTTTGATTCCAATTAAAATATTTATAAACAAGCTCACAACTGAGAACGCAATGCGAGCTTATGGTTTTTGTGTTACAAATCATGTGCACCATGTTACGTGAGAACAAAAATTCATTTATTTTAAGTGGGTTTGGGATTGCATCTTCTTCATAGAAAATGACATCACTTGGACCAAGACAGTAGTCTATTTTATTAAATCCAAGACATATAAATAGGACAGTCGTCCCACTTTTTTTTTTTGAAAAATTTGAATATTTTCATGCAAACAAAATTGGATCTTAATCTTTATTATCATCCCCAAAAAATGATGATTCATTGTTCTTAACAATTACAAGCTCACAACTGAGAATGCAATGTGAGCTTTTGCTTTTCATGTTACAAATCACACACACCATTCTATACGAGAACAAATATTCATTTATTTTAAGTCAGGTTTGGGATTGCATCTTCTTTGCCACAAAGAGCAAAAAAATGACATCACTTGGGCCAAGACAGTAGTTTATTTATTAAATCCAAGACATATAAATAGGACAGCCGTCCCCATTTTTTTTTTGGAAACCTTGAATATTTTCATGCAACAAAATCGGATCTTAATTTTTATTATGGATCTTCATATATTACAATTGTAACCAATCAAATCAATTAATGAATTTTATCTTTTTTTTTTTGTTTCCTCTAAATAAAATAAACAATTGACAAAAGAGAGGTCATGTCAATACACCCAGCATGAGCCACCAGCAAGGGTTCCATTCTCTCACTTGCTGGACTTTGATAACACATTTAAGTGAGTCACATGATTCTCCATTGCATACCTTACCCCAAGAGAGTACTAGTAATGGAAAAATGAGCCTTGCATCAAGTTTTGCATGGGGTACATACAGTTTACAACATTTCATTGGACAAATTCTATTCTATTGAATTTTTATTACACAGGATTACACAATAAAAATTACGGAACGTTTGTCAATTATTCAATAGTCTGTATAGGTGCAATCAAAGTAAGTGTTAAATACAAGATCAAGAAGTTTGTAAATCAAGTTTTTAAAATAAATGTTTTATCAATTATTCAATATTTTGTATAGGAGTGATTGAAATAAGTGTTAAAGTTGAGATCTACAAAGCTGTTTGTAAAATATATTTAACAAATGCTTTATCAATTATTCAATGATCATATAGGTGGGTTTGATTGAAGTAAGTGTTAAAGTTGAGACCTACAAAGCTGTTTGTAAAGTATATTTAAAAACGCTTTATCAATTATTAAATAATCATTATAAGCAGGTTTGACCGAAGTAAGTGTTAAAGTCAAGGTCTATGAACTTGCAAATTGAGTTTGCAAAATGGACATTTTATCAATTATTCAATAATTATATGAGCGGGTTTGATCAAAGTAAGTGTTAAAGTCAATATTTATGAAGCTTGCAATCCAGCTTTGCAAAATGAGCATATAGACATGATCAAAGCATTTTGAGTAATAAACAAATAATCAATTCAATTGTCGATTGAATTAAACACACAATGCTTTATTTTTAATAATAATAATGCTTTTCTTAAAAGTAAACAAACCAATGATCCAAAAAAACAGGACAAATGATAATACTTTTCTAAATCAATGGTATGATCCAAAAAAAAACAGGACAAATGATAATTCGTAAATTGTAACAAACTAAACACATAACACTTTAAACAAAATCAATGGTACAGGAATATTTTAATAAATCAATGGTATCACACTGACTAAATATTAAACGAAAAAAGAAAGATGCTTCACCACCACCAAAAAGTTATTCTTAGTAGCATATATGATAAAATAAAATAACAAAAAACAATAATTCAATTGTTGAAATTAAATAGCTCTTTGTAAATGTAAAATAAATAAAACTTTTTATTCTTACCAGATAGTTCTCTTCAGTTGGAAAAAAAAACTATTATTATTGCATGATAAATGTTCATCATGTGGAAAAAAGGTATTTACATTGATCATCAAAGAAAGAATATAGAATAAAGAATCATGTAGATTGATTTCAGAAAAATAAAAAAAAAATTTTTTTGAAATTTACCACCCAACAAAAACAAAAAATTCTTTCCCAAAAAATTAGGTTTGAAAAAGATAGATTTTTGCTGGTTCATTGATCATGCCTCTCCTCACCTTGCAAAGCATTGCATAAAGAAACAAAACATTTGCCGTATGACAATTTTTGCCAAATATGGTGAAAACATTGATCATGCCAAAAGCTGAAAAAACCAAGCGCAGCTAAACACAAAAGGAGACAATCAGTGAGAAACCTGCACAAAGTTCACTCGCCTTACTGATTTTGGTAGGGGGTCATGACACAGCAAATGTTTCATTTCTTACTTGTGTTAACTAAAATAAAAATATCAATACAAATAAAAAATAGTACCTCTGGTTAGTTATTAACACATTTCTTTAGGAGACCCGAACCAAACCAAACAACAACACTCACATTTTGTCACCTTGGACTCTATCAAAAAATAAATTGTTTTTCCAAAAAAAAAAAATCAATTTGCGTCTGTCCCAAAAAAAAAACCAATAGGATAAATAATATTAATTAATTGCCTATTGGAAGAAGACAAAGACTTCTTAGCTAGAAATGATATTGAATTAACTTTTGACCTATTGGATAAATCACTGGGGTGTCTTACATTATATATATGATTTTACAAACATAGTCAATCACATATATAAATTTTCATATATGACAATTTTTTACCGATCTTTTTTTCAATAGGAAACTTTGAATGATTATAACTTTTTAAAGAATAGAGATACTGGCTCCGAGTTAAGTTTAAAACATACTAGAGAAATAAGACAATAAAGTAATAGAGCCCTTTTTTTATTTTAATATAAACAATGGCATTTATTTTAAGCTAGAAAATCAAAGTAAAAGTTGCGAATATATGTTACAAAATTTTATGCAAATTGTAAAAAGCTCTCTATTAGTTTAAAGAGCATCAAAAAGTGAATCTAAACATAAATTTTTATTGGAATATAACATATACAGTGAACCATCTATAAGTGCACCCCCCTCGGGAACATAGTGCTATTTCTTGTGAGTGTGCATTTATGGAGGGTGATTTTATAAGCTCTCTATAAGTTTGGAGATGAGATGGGCTGTGCATTTATGGAGGGTATACATAGTGCGTGCATTTAGGGAGGGTTCACTGTTATTTTGAGTTTTGTAATTTTGCGAAGTTTGCTAATTTGTATAATAAATTTAAAAATTTTTTTTGTGGCATCAAAAAAATAATAATAAATCCGCAAAACCCTAAAAAATCCTTATTAATGAAAATTTATATATGTGATCAACTATGTTTGTAAATCATATGATGTGAGACACCCCAATAAATCACCATCATATAATTATGCTTGATTTTGTACTATAATTTATTTTTCCAATGATAGTTATTTTAATATGTTGACAACTTTCAGATTAAATGTTTTAAAAAATAGAATAATATATTTTATCTTAGATAATTCAGCAATTATTAAAGAATTTTATACCTATGACATGGAATGGGATTGGGTTGATAATTATGATAAATTTGATAATTGCTTTCAGAATCTCTCCAAATTAGATTATGTATTCACTTCTCATAGTATTGAATTCATTGATAAATTAGCAAATATTTGCAAATCTATACAATCATTAAGAATATATTATAATCAATACAACAATAAATTTCAAAATAGTCTGACTAAATTAATTAAAGCACAAAATCAAATAAAACAATTAACCATTGATTCAAACACTGATCAAGTTTTATCAGATAATTTCAAAAAAGCAATACTCTCACACTCACATTGAATAATTTATTATTCAAGCAGTGGAGTATATAATATAAATAATATATTATTACCAACTATAATTTAAAAACTTTATCATTAAAAGCACTTGGTACTGGTATCAATGTAAAATATTTGAAAAATAATTCATTACCACATATTGAATCTATGAAGTTATGTAATCTTAACCAAACATTTATATCAGAATTATCTGATTTTATTGACATCAATGGAAAAACTCTTAAATATCTGGATTTTTGTGTTAATATATACAATAATGAACTTTTGGGAAAACTATTTCAATCAATTGCACAACATTGTAAAAATCTAGTAGACTTATCAATGGTTTATAAGGATGCAATTTTTTTCATAAAAAAACATGCAATTACTAAATATTAAATATTAATGTTAATATTTTAATTAATATTCCTAAATCAAATTCATTATTGAAATGTAAAAAAATTACTAAATTTTAAATATTAATTTAAAACGTAAAAAAATTACTAAATTTAAATATAGATTTTAAATATTAATATTAAAACATAAATTACTAAATACTGAATATTGATATTAAATACGTGTATAAAATTAATATCAATATTAAAATGTAAAATTACCAAATCGAATTTATTATTCGTAAAAATTATATCAGTCGCAGGACATTGCGGATTTACAGGGGGTCAAGTGTCACTCATATATAAAATTAATGATCTTCGTGCATAATTT